ATGAAGAATGGCAGACTCAGAAGAGAAGCTTACAGGCCAGTTCAACATTGCATGGACAGACCAAAATCTCCTAAGGAAACATTGCAGCAGCCACAGACTCATCACACAAGTATGACTACTAATTCTGCACTCCCTACATCTAATAATTTCATTGATCTTTCTATGCAGGATCAACCAAACAATCAAGAAGGAGCTGAAAATCAGAATTCAAAAGATAAGGATACAATGGAGACACAAATTAATAATATGTCAACCACTGACAGCATGTTGGGCATGAGAACACCCACATTGATCATAGTCTAGACCATAGATCCCCTACTAGCCCCCTCAGCATCACATTCAGAATAAACAGCAAGTTCCAGACAGGTTTCAGGTGAATGCTACAAGTCAGGGTCATAAATCATTTAATCTCAAGTTATTTTCTGCTTTTGCAAAAAATTCAAGAGAACCTATATCTTAAAGTTATAATAAGATCCATTTTAAATAAAATCGTAGAGTAAATATGGTGGTTTAGCAGCATGGGAACCTGCAGGAGCCTCTGAGTATTTGGAGGTAACACAATATTCCTATTACTTTGATTTATTTTGAGGTTGTTAAAAACCTTCAACCATTTTCACTTTCTTGTTCTGTTTTATGCACCGACAGCTGCTCAATCCTACTGAATTTTTCGCTGACATTGTCATCCAGCATGAGTAAGCTCAAGCAGGTTTTATACCTGGGAGGAAAATAGCTGATAATATTATTCTGGCCCATGAGCTAGTGCAAGCTTATAGTAGGAAACATATCTCTCCTAGGTGTATGATTAAGGTTGACTTACAGAAAGCTTATGATACTGTTGAGTGGATATACCTAAGACAAGTATTAGAAGCAATGAGTTTCCCCAAGAGGTTTATTGGGTGGGTAATGGAGTGCATTCAGACTGTTAATTTTTTAATTATGGTGAATGGAGAGCATACTGAACCATTTGATGCAGCAAGAGGGCTTAGGCAAGGGGATCCTATGTCTCCTTATTTATTTGCCATTGCCATGGAATATCTTAGCAGATGTTTGAATTGGTTGCAAGGGGATAAGGGATTCAAGTTCCATCCTAGATGTGCTAAATTGAATATTACTCATCTAAGCTTTGTGGATGACCTTCTACTGTTTGCTAGGGGTGATATGAAGTCAGTGGCTGCATTACAAGAGTGTTTCATGCAATTCTCTAATGCTTCTGGTTTGAAAGCTAATCTAGGAAAGAGTTGTGCCTACTTTGGAGGTATGCAAGCACAAGTAAAAGAAGATATCCTTCATCACTTAGGATACTCTTCAGGAGAGCTAGCCTTTAAGTATTTGGGTGTCCCACTATCAACTAAGAAGCTGTCAGTAATGGACTGGCAGCCGCTAATTGAGAAGATCGTCAGTAGAATATCATCTTGGACAGCAAAGAAACTATCATATGCAGGGAGAGTACAGCTGGTTCAAACAGTTTTGTTTGGTGTACAATCATATTGGGCACAATTGGTTCTAATACCTAGCAAAGTAGTGAAACTTATTGAGGCTCATTGTAGGAGCTATGTGTGGACAGGTACAAATCATATAAACAAAAAAGCTCTGGTTGCTTGGGAGAAAATATGTACTCCAAAATCTGCAGGTGGACTGAAAATTACAAATTTGCATTTATGGAACAAAGCTGCAATTGCTAAGACTTTCTGGGACCTTACTCACAAGCAGGACAAGAACCAGCAGCAGCAGAATGACAACTCAAACCACATCAGAACAGAGTTTAACTAGCACAAGCGACAACAAACTCACTCACAAAAATACAACAAAGTCTGTAACCTTCGAAGAAATCTAAAAGGGACAGCTTTAGGTATGAGAATCAGTTTAAGCAATGAAAACTAAAACCATCTCTCACAACAACCATCACAGTTCAAACCAGTAAAACAACAGGGGATAAAAGTACACAACTACAACCCAAAATTAGTAGAGTCCTCCTTCAACACAATACAACACTCATACAACTAAAAATATAAAAAAAAAATTGGTATAGAAGCTTAAAGGAGACAATGAGTAACAAAAACAAAGTAAACTTTCAAAGATTCAAGATGGTAAAATAAGTTCAGAATTTATTTACCAAGAACACCAGCTCAACTAGAAGAAAAACAATATGCAGACTATTAACAGAAAATGTGAAATACAAAATACCTTTTGAAGAACCGAATCATGAGCTGACCCTGAAGAATGTGGAAGATTTGTGCCTCTTACAGCTTGTGCGCTACTTGCATCAATATGTGAAGCAAAGTTAGATCCAACACACCCTGGTATATCTTGAAAATTCAATCCAGGGTTGTTTTGCAGCAATTTAGTGAATAAATGTCGCATTTCTTCTCTCAATTCTTCCTTTAGAGAAGTGATTTCATTGGCATGCTTTTGTTTTAGATTGTTAATTTTTTCATCTTTCTTCAAAGAACTTGTTGTCACTGATCTACCATAGCACCTAAGTCGACCAGGCTTCTCCTTTCCAAACACTGCCCTAAATGCATCATCAGCTGTTTCCCCAGAATTTTGGCGATTTTGAAGTTCAGCCTGTTGAATAAAATTGGCATCCATAGTGAATTGTAAGTACTATTTCATTTCCAGTCCTATGATAGCGATCAAGAACTAAAAAAATCTGACAACTATTCCTAGCAAACAATTCAGCGACATCGACAAAGAGAAAAAGAAGAAGAAGAAGACATACGTGATAAAATTCAATGGAAAACTCCCCACAATATATAAATTTTAAGTCTAAATCAAATTCACTACTAATCCTCTTTAAAAAACTTACTATTGCAACTTGGGTATCAGCCTGGATTTCCTTTCCCGTCTTGGTACGAGTTGCAATAAACATTTCAGGCTTTGATGGTTCTTCGTTGTTGTCTTTGGCTGCATGCTACAGATTATATAAAAAATAAAAATAAAAAAACATCAGTATGCTCTAATAAAGTACAAAAAAATGAAATTCAGATTTTTGAAGAAATGTCAGCTAAGTATTACCAATGCCACGCGTACTCTTGCAAAATTAATAGGTCCCATTCGATGCCTCCACTTTTGTTTTTTCCTGTTTTGAGAATTCATCTCGCATATGGCCTATTATTAAATAAAAAGAGATAATTGAATTGATAAATTAAAAAAAAGAATAGATATGATGCAAAATATGTCGATGAGTAGAAATGCACTATTTTAGCCTTACTTGAACAGTTGGGTGCTTCCAATACTCGATCAGCTGGCGGAATTGATTATCTGGAATGCCATCAGGACGTTTTGCTAGCATATCCTCAAGGGTACTGTTTTTATCAAAAAAATTCTCTTTAATTTTTTGCTTGTGTCGCCTCCAAGCATCACGAAGACCAGTCATCACCCACTTCTTTGCTTCTAGTGGAAGTAGAAATTTGGACTATGCAAAATAAAATATATTTAGCTTCAGTAAGTAAAAACAAACAATAAAATATGCAATCTCAAAAGTGATTGTTCTTACATTGATATATTCCCACATGC